AGGATTTTGGCTATAGCACAATTTCTACTACATTAAAGTGTGATATCTATATAACCTCAGCTAGCCAGGGTGGTGTGCTCTACCCCTGGACCTTGAAGATGTAAGTCTCCTTTCCCTGTCACTGTCAAGGTTCAGCAGTGTCAGACAAGACAGGCCTCCCCCAAGTTAGTGATCTCACTCCTAACATTCGATTAACCCTGTTCTCAACCCTCCTCTGTAGCTCGGTGGATCATGGAGGGCCCACACTTGCCATGGTGGCAATTAATGAGGGGTCTCCTGCTCATTCTGGTCCAGGTCACCCTGAGAGGCATCGTCATTGAATTAGGTAGATAGGGTAAATTGAGGGAAGATTGCTTTGATTTACACATCTCAAGTTGGAGTCACCCCCCCTCCCAAAGGGGCATGGCACTGGTGCAGGGAATGTGATGTAAAAACAGGAATCTGCCACTACCTGGCCTCTTCAGTGGCACTGAGAAGCCTCACGTGTTTCCCATTTCTCTGGACCTCCCCTTCCCCAACCCTCACAATTTGGGTAATGAAATAAGGCAGAGCCCAGCAGGCCATTAAGGCAGGGGCTTGGGTTAAATAAGATGGAAATTCTATAATTATCTCCATTAACAGCAGAGGAAAACTCCACTTATTCGATTATTGCCGGGAAAATTCAATGATTGCCAAGGTTAGTGTTTTCCTCCGAGACCAAATAAACTGCCGGTCTGGGCTGGTTACGAGCTCCTCCACTGAGCCTCTATTGACTTAACTCTGCAAATTTCCCAAAATTTGGATACAACAGTAGACAAGTGAAAGCGGATGGGCATCAAAATCACATTTCTCGTAATTTCATCCCCGAACGGGGCTGAATAGTAATGGGAATGCGGCTGAATTAGCGACCAATGGCATCAGGATCATTTACAAATTGGCTGAGGAGGGGAGATTTGGGGTAATCCGGCCAGGGCCAGGCACTGCGCAACCCTGAGGGGCAATAAAGTCACCAAAACAGTTTACCATTTCCTATTCGGGCAGGTACATGTATGTGACGTCTGCCCCATGCATTACTCATAGCCGGCAAATCGAGTTAGTTTGTATGAATTGCTTTTTATCATCTCACGACTTCCTCTACTGCACACTTTTAATGACTGGAGAAAAGCTGTAAATTCTTTTTCTTTTTCACGACCTTGGCTGAAGGAGAAAGGGCTTGTAGAACTCCAGGGGTCAAAGTTCGATGAACTGCACCCTGGGAATTCGAATGTTGAGGCACGCTTAAAACCTTAGGAAGTGTCAAAAGCCTTGTAGGGATCCGATTATACCTCTAGGAGTAACCGAGAACAACTTTCTTGTTGGTTTAAGACTTAGCAGGCTCCGCGCCGGAAATCAGACGAAAAGCCGAACAAGTTTACGGTAGGATCAGGAACGTTTTGCCGGGGAAAGTCGGAGGAATTTGAGCATGTGGTGGTGATTACAGTCTGAGCTGTTGTTGCCAGTATCACTGTTGAACTTTTGGGCGAGCGGCAGCGTGAGGTATGACACCCCACAGTTACCCACCTCGGGAGCACAGCGAAGGCAGAATGCGAACAATTTTAGTTCTGTTTACCACCAATTCGGAAGATTGTTCCACGCTTCTACATTCAGTATTTTCACCCCTTCCAGACTTTGCAGACACGGCTTGGTGAACTCACCAACGTGCTCAGTTCAAAATGTACAGAAGAGAAACATACCTTTGCGAGGTTCTTGGCCCAGGTTGATGCTAATCCGATCTGACAGTGAACAGAGGGGGGTGGAGGATTGGAGACTCCCCCAGTTAAGACATGCATGAAATTTGGGTCTTTACTGGCTTGAACCCAGAGCAGACTGTCTGAAGTCATGGACTTGACATAAGAGATGTTCTACACTTCAGCACATTTCCTTTTTAGTGGCAATGGTTAAACTGTTTGGAACGATTTACTACTTGGATACTTGGAAACTACTGTACAGTTAGATAACAAGCTGAGGACTGGTGATGGCTATTGATCAAATGTTTAGGAATAAGCTCTGTATTTTATTCAGTTGTACTCAGATACATTGACAAAAGATACCTAAGTGTCTATTCTTTCTCAGACCATTAACCTTCTCATTGCTGCCTCAACTTTACAACCAATACAAATATCGTTCCAACAGGCTACTTTAGCAGAAAGAAGTTAACATCAAAACTTTTAAAATTTTTTTGTTCAGAGCATACTTTTTCTCACAAGTCTACCTCCCTCCCAAGTTAGGCAGCCTCCCTAACTCTACTGCACTGCAATTGTGCTGCCATGAAAATGACTTCAGGACAATCAAGCTGCCTTCCCTCCAATTTCTCAGACACCCTGGCCCTCACAGTGTTCTACAGGATTAGGTGCAGGATTGGATGCTGGAGTAACAAAGATAACAAGCTGATAATGCTAATCTTCCACTGCTTTTAAGGAGAGTGAGTTCCAGCCTCCCCTGAAACAAAGTGCATACTTTGGATTAAGAAGGTATCACTCTCTCCCTACATTAGCGGAGAAATGCGCCCCGAAATTAGTTGCAATTTGGGTCAATTGTTGGGCTCCCCTAGGAAGAATTTGTTCTCTTCCCGAAGAGTTTGTTAACTTGCTAAGCTGTCAGTACCTGGGTGACCTTTGATGCCATCAGTGATAGATGGCTTCTGTAAGGTGGGAACAGTGCCCCGACCAATTACATGCATTCTTCACATTTCCACGAGTTCTTTCTGCGACCTTCCCGAAAAGTACTAATTTCTCGGAGCCTGTGAAAGCTCCTGTTGTTTACTTTCTCATTGGAGGGGTAGTTGAACTTGAAGACCATCCAAAAAGGATCATTGCTGTTGTTGCAACTTAGAGAGTTGATATAAATCCCAACAATCACATCTGAGCTGGTGCCAGCTTTTTGTGTGATGTGGTCAACTATCAAATAACTGTCTTCCAGTATAACATTTTAACAATTTAACAATAACAATTTAATGTTCAACTTTAAAAAAAAACTACTTAATCAATTAATCAAGTCACTTTCCACAAATGTGAGTGCAAATATGTTTACTTCAAATTGAATGAACCCATGGTGTTATACCAATTACCAATGCATGAGGTTATGATCTGCTTTGCAAGAAATGTCATAATGTGCCAATTTGCAACGGCCTATAGTCCTTGCCAGGGGTTACTGCAATATGAACATTTCTACTAGACTAATAAATACTATACCCATGGCTAGGCTGTGTTTCAAATTTCCCCAACCATATAGGGCATATGATGCACACATTTATAAGAAAATACCAATCATGACTTCCAAACAGTCTTTGGTAAAACAAAACCGTGTGTCCTGATACAAAATGTGTCACTTTTGGAAAAAAAGTAGTTCATTAGCTTTATAGAACTGACTTTAGAACATGCATTCTGTCATGGGGTGTTGACCTTGAAACACCAATCTCCTCCTTCAATGTCACAGCTCTGATTTATTCTGCTGAGAGGAAAGTGATTGAAAAACTCAATTTGTCTGTAGATCAAAGCAGAAGGTCCTGACACCTTGTGCCTTAGTTACAAGTGGTCATTTCATTCATCTCAATTTGCCCAGGAAATTGGGAGTTATTCACATCGAAATTTACCCCCGCGCATCAAGAAGGGGTAGTTTTTCTCCTGTTGTCCGGTAAAAAATGGCAGATTTCATTAGGCTTTATCGGGAAAGTGTGCGCCGGCTCCCTAAAGTGTCATATACTGTCACGACCTTAGATGACATCCGTGATAATTCCCGCTCAGATCATCATTAATGTGTGAACATCCACGCAATTAAATAGACACATATCTATCACATCAGACATACATGGGACCAGACAACATTCCTCATACCATTTGTACACGGCTTTATTGTCAGATCAGCTCTGATAAAAACTGACATCTGTCAGAGTTTGAGTGGCATATAAAGCACTGCATTCTCATCACTTGTGCTTGCTTCCTGTGAAACATTACATATACATATATGTGTGTGTGTGTGTATGGAAAATAAGTCTATACAAATACAAGATTTTTCAACTGCTAATAATCTGAGCTGATAAATTTGCTTAGACCTTAAGTGGCATGCAAGCAAAGTACTGCATTCTCATCGTTTGTGCTTGCTTCCTGTGTAACATTATATATGTGTGTATGGAAAATAAGTGTATACAAAAACAAGATTTTTCAACTGTTAATATTGTTATCAGTACAATGTACATAATGAGCTGATAAATTTAGTTAGGCCTTAAGTGGCATGCAAAGTACTGCATTCTTGTCCTTTGTGCTTGTTTTGAGTACATATATGTATCACTGAAAAAAAAACAAGAATCATAAAAAACTATACAAGATTTTACATCAAAACATCATCCTCTAATATTGTTATCAATACAAAATGAATTGATAAATGTAGTGGCATACAAAGTACTGCATTTTCACGATCTGTGCTTGTTTTCTGTACCTGTATATATAATGGAAAAAAAAAATGAAATACATATTATAAAAAAGTACAAAAATTTTTACTTTAAAAACATTAAGTCCTGAAATAATTAGCAGTGCAAAATAATTTGGTAATTTTAGAAACTGAGGCTGTTGTATACAGCTCTGTGCAATTTGGCAATCTTACAAGCAATATATGATAAAATTTACTGTTGTACTAGGATGAGCTAAGAAACATCACACTAAAGTTGTGGTCCTTTTTCGCAGTGTAAGCTTCTTTCCTTACATTTTATGGTTCAGAATCAATAGCGAGTTTATGTACAAAATAGTGCTGCTAGATTAAATGTAATAACCTATGGCGCCAATGGTACAGATAACATCTTCACACCACTGCCCATGCCCTAAAAAAGCCCGCGTCAGAGAGAGCATAGTTCGTGCCGCGGCCTTTATATACGTTCCGATCTATTTTATCGTGACAACGAACGCAACTTAACACTCAAGATTTGCAACATCGCCATCATTACAATTCTATCTCCCAACTTTATTGCAAATGGTAGAGAAGTTTACTTGTTTTTTTTTTGTGGCACTATACTGTGTGGTCGAGAATCCAATACTAGGGAGGCGTTGCATCATGTAGTAAAAATAGAGATTGTTGACAAAACTCGCTCGTGACGCATGATCTAAATTTTGATTGCAACATATACACTTTGGAACTGTCACCATAATAAAATATTGTTGTCATAAAGTGTCGTGCTTATTGTTACGATACCACCTTTGAGTTGATATACACTGTAGAATCAATATTGAAATATATCTGTGAAATCTCTATTGAAATGACAGGGTTATGGAAATATATACAGACAATTCTAGGGGTATACACACACATCTTTCAAGGATAGATAGAATGGATAATTCTACAATCTATTTTTCTATGATTCAAAATTTACAGTTACAGCCCTAAGTGTCTTTTCTAATATGATCTCAGGCTGAAATATTTTACTGCACATTCATGCCATCTGAAAAATTCTGATGTAACATTACAATATTTCTAAATTTTCATTAGTTTATGACAATTCACATCTAAGTTTTTTGGATTGGACTGGGTCTGTATTATAGAACCTGCAGACATATCAGTCTAAATTTTGTTGGTATTTACAAAGATTGGCTCCATAAAATTTACATACTGTTGTGATCTTGTATCATACAAGATCGGAATTATATTTTCAATAATTAACAAAACAAGCCATTTTATCATGAAGGTATGTGATTCAGGTCAGCAGACTCTAAAAGATGTAAGGCAAACCCATCAGAAAACCGCCATGTCGCAAGCTTCCCTACGATATGGGAACACCGCCGATAATCCGAACCTTTGCCTGGCAGCCCGCCTTGCGACTGCTCACAGATACAACCTGGTGATAGAGACATCAGTTGTAAACAACACAACACATCAACATACATATACAACACAACACATCTACATAGAACATACATGTACATCGATATACAGCACAACACATCTACATTACATAGAATACATCAGATATATAGCACAACACAACTACATAGAACACAATACATCTATACACAGCACAACACAACTACAAAGAACACAATACATCTATATACAGCAAAACACAACACTACACTACACAACACAACAGGACACAGAACAGCAAAACACAATACATTGAATCAACAACAAGAAGGGTTGACTTTTAGTCAAGCAAGGAAAGAGAACTGAAGATGTCAGACGGCAAGTTTCAGCTGCTGAATCAGAAGCAGGCATAAGGATGAAGAGGTGACCATGTCACAGGAAATTAGCAAACAAGGAGAGACAAAACACGACATGCTTTTCTGGAAGCTAACAGCTATCTACAGCTGTCCGAGAGAATTTTGTGAATGGAGCAAAAAAAGGCACATGCCTCTCAGAAAGTTGGCTGTTAGCAAGGCTGTGGGCACCCATGTCAAGTACTGTCATAAGGGAAAGGAGAGCTAACTTTTGTACTTGATGTACAGCATTAAGCAGCATGTATGTCAATTGTCGTGTATCCTTTTGTAAAGATACATGATGGAGAGACCCCCTAATGAAGTGTTAGATACTGCAGAAGTGCTAGACAAAGCAACATGATTATTGACTTCCAAGAATCAAAAAGCTTTTGCAGTATTATTAAAAAAACAGAAGGATAGTTAGGATGTTACTTCTTTTTTTCTTCTTTTTCATGGCTTCTCAAGGGAAAAACTGAGAAGAGAGAAAATTGGGTGTCCTTCCTGCTGTGAGATACTATCAGAAATGCTGCACTGTTCAGAGGAAGGACACCAGTGGTGTCCCCACTAGAGCACACCAACAAACCTCTGGGGGAGTGACACAAATCTCACAGGGAGGAAGTCCCAACAGAAAACCTAGTGACCTGCGAGTAATTAAAATCCCCTAATACCTCCATTGATACCTCATGATGCTCCCATTTGCCAGTGTGAAAGGGCCGTGTATCTACAAACCTTTGACCAAAACACATCTTTTCCATGGCAGGGATTACGCTGGATTGACACCCAAATCCAACAGGTGCCACCAAGTCTTCCCCCTTCTGAGGAAACTAGGCTAACGAGGAGTCATTTGTTACCATGGTAAGCAAGGTGTAACAATCACTAATCCTCGTCATGGTAACTGTGGCGATTCATTTCATCACAGGAAAAACAAAGCAAGCATTCCTCAAAGTCAGACGCTAACCAAGTAGAAGCTGCATGTATTTTACTGAATATGTATGCAGATGGCATTAGGTGAAGTTGACAGGCATATCAGAAAATATGATTTGAACATCTCTCCACTTGAGATCAATGTTGATATGCAGGAAGATAAATGTAACGTTAGATATGTCTTCCTGAGATTGATGTAAGATCGTTTGATGTACATCTGCGATTTCTATCATATCTACAGCAGGCACCCACTGCTAACTCTTCCTCAACTGATGTTTGATAAGGTCCTGGAGTTTACTTTTGAAGTAGTCCCACTGAGAATGACAATCCAGCAGTGATTAGCCACGTTGCTTTTACAGAACAATGTGGCATCACACTGTGACCCAACATAACCTTAGCCTCCACAGCATGCCAAAAAACTGGGGGTTTTGGGGGTCTTCAGGGTCTTTGGGATCTTTTATGTGCTATTTTCTGATTGCATATACTATATATATTAGACAACATAGCTGGCCTGGTTGAATTTTTTGAAAACAGAAAACAGCCGAAGACCACCAAACCTCCAGTTCTATAAGCCTGCTAAAGAGGCTAATTACATAACCTCCTGTACATGTGCGAGCATACATGTAGGTGATTCACCTTAATCGAACTATTGTGTAGTATTGATTTCACATGTTGTGTTTGTCACTTTGTGTATAACTGATGCACAATGTTTTGTGTAAATTTGTTTCCCACTATTTCTAATGAAAGATAACATCATCACCCGGTATTGAAAGATAGCATCATTTTTATTCGCCGAGTTATTACATGTCAATACCCCCATCCTACGTGGAACACGGTTTTGCTTCAGATGAATTTGAGACCATTTAAATTCAGCAACTGTCTGAATATTTACTAAATTATAAATGGTCTTTACATTTCTTCTTTGATTTTCATTCCTTTCATACATGCAAAACTTTTTGTAATCCACATTCCAAAAGGTGGAAAGCAAAAGGTGAAGACAGGATAGAGTTCCTCTTGAACATCAATCCCAAAACAGCCTTCTTCTGTAAGCCTAACTCTACTACAATAACTAACAGACCTATCATGAATCACAGGCAACATCAGTGATGTTAAGTCAGAGCTAAAATCTTTGTCCATGTTTTTACACAGCAGGAATTTTAGATATCCCCGCAACTCTTTCCATGATACACTTAGAAAATACAGTACTTAGTCCCACAGCCTTCCCTGTGACTGACACCTTGATCTAATTCTGCTTGGTTAAAAGTATTTGTTTTGACAATCAGGGAACACTTCTATCCCGCTTGGTTGCCAAGGGTCACTGAGGACGCCTCGGTGACTCCCCTGGCGTCATTACAGAGGCAGACAGTCGCAATTTAGGGATGCCAGCGGGACGCTATCAGTGGCATCACAGGGTCACGGGCTGGGGACGGGCGCTTTCTCTGCCGGGACACTCTGACAAGTGTCAGCGGCACCTGCTCAGCACAGAGGGGCGGTCATTAAAGACATTATCCCGCACCCGCAAGGTCATTAAACAAATTATTACGTGTTGTGGCTAACAACTTAAACAAGTTCACAGTCTCACTCGAATCCTGCGGAATTTACGAATCGCTCCAAAGTACATATAAGGGACTGTTATAGTCTAATCTTTCAGTTGAGATGTTTCAGTACAACTGCGAAATTGGAACTATCATTCAGACACATAAATCATAAATAAAAGGATGCTAGCTGTCCACACGCCAACCCACAGTATTTTTGGAACGTGCGACCCAGTTGAACTTGGCAGACAGTGCCTACTGTTTTTAGACACATCCATTCTGTCTCTGTCATTGCCACTCGACGTGGCGACAGTCCAGGATGCTGGGGAACAACGGACCGGCACCCGACGGGTCAAGAACTCAAGAACTTCAGGAAGCCACAGAAAGCAGGTTAAGTGGTCTGTGAGGACAGCATGTAGCATGAACTAAGGAGGCTACTCAGATTCATATTCTTGGTTCACGGATTCACCTGCTTCAATTTTTTTCTGATTTGATAAAAATAGAGAAAATGTTCTGCATCAACCCTAAAATGATCAATGTTATGGCCCCAACAGTTTAAGAAAAGTCCTAGTCTTCCTAGTTGTTACTGTTTTCCATTTAACAATGCAGTGATTTGCACAAAGAAGTTGGATCTAACTTTAAACATGTAACTACCAATACAGATGAACCTTGATAATAATGCAGAGATTTGTTTAATAGTTCAAAATTTATGTTTGAATGATAAACCAGCTTTGTACATTGACTCTGGCTCCTATGGTAGCATCTGCTGTTATTAAAAGTTGCCTAGGCTGGTTTTTTTTTTAGGGGGGGGGGCACCTGCTTCATTGATTCCCTACAAATATCCCAGAAGCAACGAATCAAATTGGTGTGACTGGGCTGTGGTCTAATGTTGTGACAATAGATGGCACTCGGAGATTCATGGTCTTGGGGATGCCAAAGTTTTCTATCAACAGGAAAGGGTGCGGAGAGGTCGCCGTACCGTCTACATGTACAAGGGACTCGGATCCCCAGGCTGGCCCCCTGTAGGGCAAGAATCTTGGTGACCTCTCCAAGGTCACCTCCATTTAATCATCTGATTGTCAAACTTTTTTTGGCTGTAAACTTTTGCAGATGGAAAAGATGGATGCATTCATATGGTAACTGGAGTTCTTATGGCTGTTTAAGTATGTATTTTGTATATTTCAAGTACCCAAACTTGAAGAAGCAACTTAATGTACCACAAACAATTGTACTACGGTAAGACAAAATTATCGGTGACAATGCTAAAAGTGTTCTACATGCCCGTCAAAGTGAAAGTAGGTTTTTGTTCTTGATTCAGATATTTGTATGGTACACTGAAGAACCTTTGTTATATTGTTAAACGATAAAGAACAAAAAATTAGTCCGGGTGAAAACGTTTTTTCTTTTAATATGTAATGACACTTCACCAAAACCAGTTGAATTTCTTTGAAAAATCTGCAGTTACACGTGATAGCGGTTGGTAGGTTGACCTGAATCCATCTAAAGTTGGAACACTGAGTGGTGGATCATTCTAAATTATGACAACATCAAAAGATATAACAGTTCTAGCCCTAGCTATACTGGGCAAGGTTCATCTTGCCGGACACAGAGATGACCTGCAACAGCTTTGGTGTCACCCAGAATCGAATACCTGAAATACTCCTCTCCAAATCCCAGGTTAATAGACCCAACATCTTGACTACACCTGTTTGACACAACCGAACAACTTTCGCCTCTAGAACAGAACAGGTGCACTCGTAGGTACCCGTGGAAGAAGCGAACTTCGGTTTCGCGCCCATTTCCATACATATCTCTTTCTCAGGACCTCCTGACAAGCTTTTCTGCTTCATAAGCATGATGACAGCAGCAACCGCCGGGGAAGGGATCAGGACTTCTGACCTGGAAGGTCCGAAACCCCGTCCAGAGTGCACAGCAGATGCCCTACACCAGTAATTGATCGCAGATTTCTGGAGCCAGGGAGATGGCCATATCTGGCGCTCTGGCTGTGGGCTGTAGACTGCCTGAATTACGTCCAACAAAAAAACGTGCCGACAAATATATCTCCCCGAGATAGCCCAGATTGCGCCGTCTCAAAATATGATAATCTTGTCTACGTCCGCACGCCAATCGATAGATTGTCACCGGAGATCGGCGTATTTTCGACACGGGGGGAGAGTGAGGCA